AATAAAAATAAATAAAAAACCAAGAGACTCAGGCCGGTCGAGTGGCTCAGTTGATTAAGATCTCGCTCAATAGTTTGAGCTCTGAGCAACAGCGGTTCGAGTCCTGCCCGAGCTGAGCAGCCGCTGAGCTGCCAACAGGTAGCCATCAAACCAAGAGACTCTCAGCTAGTGATAAGGCTATGAAGAGCTCTGTCGGGTCCTCACTTCCAAGATGACCGAGAAAAGAAGGAACAATGGTGTGCCAAAAGGGGACACGGCCATGTGCAGCCCATTCCTTGCACCAACTGCCCGATATGTGCCCAAGGGCAAGGCCATTAAGAAGTTCCTCAGTTGAAACATAGTAGAGGTTGCAGTTTAGGGGCATTTGAGTGTCCTCACTGCCTAGGTGGTTTCCCAGCTGTATGTGAAACTACATTACTGTGTGAGTTGTGCCATTCACAGGAATTGTTTTGGTGAAGCCCAGAAGGACCCAACACCCCCACCCCGATTTAGACCATAGGTGCTGCCCACAACCTTTGCCAAAGTCCATGTAAGGAGCTAAGTCCTTAAGGGTTGAAGAAATAGTCTCTGGGAGAAAATAAATTTAAAAAATGGAAATAACACTTAAAAAAAATAAGGCTATGAAGAAATAAACTAGTGATGTGATAGGGAGTAACTGGTGTACAGGGCTGGCTTCCTGGGTGAGTTGTCAGTGCAGTGACACAGGGCCCTGTGTTTAGAGCGGCCTTACTCTTGGTTTAATGCTCTGCTATCATTGTCTTGAAATTCTTACTAATTTTATCTTGAGATTTGTGTTTTGTAAGGGAGGTCTGATAAAACACTGGATGCATGTCCTCTGTTCTTTGTCACACCATTCTCATGTATCTTTTTTGATGCCCTGTGAGCCCAGAATTCTGGTTGACCCACTGATGTAAGGGAGTACGAGTATGTGGTAAATGTGTATGTTTATAACTGACTAAGCAAGGATGCTAACACCCTGAGAGGCCATGTTTTCCTCAAACCAGAACTTGCTTCAAATGCAAAAAGAAGGCATTCTAAGAAACTTGATAACCTAAGAACCCTATCTTATCCTTTCTTACTCATTACGTCCCAATAGCTGCCAATTACTGACTCTGAAAGTGACCTATAAAAGAACAGCAAAGACGGGGAAAGGTAGTTCCTCTGCCTTTCAGTTCTTCCTTATTTATCTGTAAGCCAAAGGTAATAAGTGTTCGTAGAATGTAGGTGTATCAGAAGTGAAATAAAAACAGTTGAGTTAGTTCTGTGCAATGTTTCTATGCTTCGATTAAGAATGAATTTCACATGCATGTATGAACTACACAATAGGAATTGTATAATTTTGATAATTCCACATGAGTTAAAGGTGGAATTTGAAATTTAGGTAAAAAAATACTTAAAACTAGTACTGCACAATATAAAGATAAATGGTAAAATCATGTTATTAATTCAAAATTTTAATTTTTCTTTATGGAAGATGACATTAAATAGCAAATAAAAAAACACTGTAAGAAGTTGAGCAAGAGAGCTCAGAAGAAAGGAAAAAACTTTGTATGTCAGTATCTTTAACAGCATTTTAAAATTGGTTTTCTAACAAGACACTCTGAATTTTCATTTGGCACTGACCCATGTAAATCATGTGGCTAACCCTTGTGGGGGTACTACTTTAGATCGAATGATCAGGAGAGATCTCTCTGAGGAGATAGCATTTCTTTTTCGTTTTCTTTCTTTTTTTAAATTAGTTTCAGGTGTACAAAACAATGTGCTAGTTAGACATTTACACCCCTCACTAAGTGATAACCCTTCCCCCAATCTGCTACCCCTCTAACATCATATATAGCTGTTACAATTCCATTGACTCTATTCCCTATGCTATACTCCACATCCTGTGAATATATATATATATATATATATATATATATATATATATAAAATTATAGTCGACATTCAGTATTATTCAGTTTCAGCATCAGGTGTACTCTGCAGTGGTTCGACATCTACACCGTCCATGAAGTGGACTCCCTAATAAGACAAGTGTCCATCGGGTACCCTACAAAATCTTTACAACATTATTGATTATATTCCCCAAACTGTCTTTCATATCTCTGTGGCAATATTGTGACTACTAATTAGTACTTTCTATTCCCTTTACCTTCTTCCCCATCCCCACCCCCCTCCCATCTGGCAACCATCAGTGTTTACTTGGAGAAGACAGCATTTAAGCTATAACTAAAAGACCAAAAGGAGCCAACCATGGGAAGATCTGGGGAAAGAACATTCTAAGAAGAGGGAATAGCTAGTACAAAGGTCATAAGGCAGGAAGTAATTTTATATTCAAGAAATAGAGAGAAGGTCAGTTTCACCAAAAAGTAGTGGTTAAAGCCTGGAGTAGCAAGAGATAAGGTTAGAGCTTGGAGAGGCCAGAAGAGTGTGAAGGGCCTGTTCTAGGGGAACTTATTCTGTTTCTGTTAGGTAGCCATTGGAAAGTTTCAGGCAGGAGAGTGACATAAATGACTTAAGTTTTAAAAGGTCACTCTTCCTGCAGTGTGGAGGCAACAGTGGACTCAGGGAGACGATCCTGAGAGGTCTACATCTGAAGAGTTCCTCACCTTTCCAGGTGGAATTTATCATACTCTTGTCATAACTTCTCTTATTGCAATTACGGATTTTCAATTTTTTCTCCCTGAACCAGACTGTAAGCATCTTGTAGACACTGAGTCTTAACCCTCTTCATATCACTAGTGTCTGGCATTGTTTACATTTAACAGTCACTTATTAAATATTTATTGAGTGAATAATTGGAATAGGGTTTAAACCAGTCTTGTGATAAAAGCTCTTCCTTTGGAGTTTCCTTCAACTTAAGGTAATTAATAATTAGATGAGCCTTAAAAAATGGAATGATAGCAGCAGCTATATAGAAATCTGAAGTCAGTACAAAATGAATCATTAATTCACAAATTTTGAAATTTGGGAGAAAATTACAGACTCAGTCATTAATGGGAATTTGAATTTTTGTACCACCTCTTCCTGAGCCCATGTGCAAGATGTACTCAAAGACACAGCTATTATTGGTGCTAGTGTTTTGGTCAGAAGTTCCGGCCTGATTGATGGCTTCGGACTTGAAGTTGGCCTGAGACATATTTTGATTGGTTTGCATGATATGTAAATACCGTGCTGAATTAGTGGTCGATGTGTAAAAAACAAAGGTGTTTTCACATAAGGGTCAGATTTTCTCTATCTCTTTGAGAAGTAAGGAACATACAAGCTAACACAAAGCTCAGCAGCCTTGGGTCTGCATTCCGGCCTTCCAAAGCTGACGTTGGCCACTGCCTTTGTAAGGGGCTGTGTTCTCTATTACAGTCCTTACGCTGCCTGTTACACTTACATAAATTACCTGCCTGGCTCCTGGTGGCATTTGTGTTTGTAACAGCTCCTACTGTGACATTTATATACTAGAGCAATTTTAAAGGAGCATTCCTTTTTAAAAAGCCTTATACAAATTTCTCTTTCATGTTCTTGCTAATTTTGTTTGGCTTTACTTGCCTTCTTTGAAGCTTTCATCATTCCAAGAAACAAGGTGGACAGTCCAGACCCACCTAGATGTGGGACTGCTAGGGCAGGAGGAAATGGTGCTCCGATTTGTTGGTAGATGCCTCTGAGGGAAGGGGAGGCTCTCCAGAATGGCAGCCAGAGGACAGCTTTGCCACCGATTTGTTCTACAGAAGGATAACTTACCAGTTCTGTCCCTTCTACCTCCCAGTTATGTGACTGTTAAGACTCAGGGGGATCAAGGTGAAGGGACAGAATAAGTTTAAACCTATCTATAATTATATATCACATGGGCCTTCACTTAAGCTCTTCAACACTTGTCTGCCCCGAGGTGTGCCGCATCCTCAAACACACGTGGCTGTATCTCCACTGAGCAGGAATCATTAGATGCGCGATTGTAGATTGTCGGTGCTTGGGACAGTGCCTTTATTTGAATGGTGCCATTTAATCTGTTGTCCTGTTTTGTGTGAACCCACATGTTTATTTAGAGAACTGTATGGGGCAGGCCACAAAAGATGCTCTGTGGCAAAGCTAATAAAGGCTGTTTCCACAGAGCTGTGTAAAGGCACGTGGGAGCACAGCAGTCACAAGCAGAAACCACAGCGGGTCAACGTTGATAGACTCCTGGGACGGGAAGGTGCTCACGTTTGAAGGCCAGAAGGGAAAGAAAATCAGTTTGGGAGGACTGATCACACAGCAGGTCTTGGTGGCTATTCAGCTCAGGGGACACTTGGCAGTACCAGGGTGCCATTCATTTACAAGCGTACAAATGATTTCACAGAAACGTATTCAAGAGTCTCAAGAGCAAATCCCTGCCCGATCCCACGCAGGCTGGTAAACGGGCGATGGCCCGCAGCCCAGCCCGGCTGCCCAGACGCGGTGGCCAAAGCAAGGAGCCCGTTTCGCACGAACGCCTGACTCCCGGGAAGGGAGGGCGCTCGGCGAGGGGCTGGGGAGCGGGGCAAGGTCCAAGTCGCAGGGAGGGCGAGCCGGCGAAGGGGTGGGAACAAAGCCGGACCAGAACGGCCGCCGGCTGACTCCCGGCTCGGCGCCGGCAACCCGGGCTTGGATCTGCGCGCAGCCCGGGGCAGCAGGGCGAGCCTCACGCCGCCGCCTTCTCCCAGGGGAGCCGGGAAGGGCGCGCGGGCTCGCCGCCCTCGGGCGCGGGCAGCCGGCGGCCGGCATCGCGCCCCCGCG